ACGAAGTTAATAACATCCAGGGGTTGATTATGTGATATATTGGATGCAGACGATGAAAGAAGAAGAGGAAAAATTCAGCTCAAGAACAATTTATACAATAAAAATAACACAAATTGAAAATTCAAAAATTTTATACAAAAATATATTTTTTTTAACATATCAAAATTATTTATATATTAAAGTTATATACATATTAATTGAGAAAATGAGAAAGTGATTATGTGAGATTCGAATAAGCCACTTACAAGAAGTGAACGGTTTTAATTTATGATTTATGTCAATAAATCGGACCAAATTGTTTTATAGAAAAATATTTTAGTTAGTTTATATTATAGTAAATTATACAAAACTAACATGTGCCTTTTAATCAAAGATCATCCAGTGTCTTTCAATCCAATGATTTTAACTTACAGCCTGGGCTGTAAAATCGAGAAACATTAAACATAAGGGTGTCTCCTTTTTTTTTTTTTTTTTTGTCTAGTCCTGGCTCTTACATCTGTGTTATAATTTGGCCTTTTGTATTTTAACTTTTTATCTACTTTATTCATTTCATATAACTATGGTATATTAAGATTAAGTGGAGGTAAGACAAGAAAGCTCTATCCAAGGAGAAATCCTGGTTCCGCCACTGCAATACCGGTGTGAGCAACACGATCTGCCCTACGTCGGCCTGCAACGCCTTCAGAAGACGAGTTTCTCCACTTTTCTCTCATATTTTCAATTTTTTTTTTTTTAGTTTTAATTGTTTAATTAAATTATTTAATCTTAGAATCATTTAATTAAAACTACTAGAATTAATATTTTTTGTCCAACTAGCTTAAAGGACGAATTGAAGGGGAGACGGAATGCTGACATTTTTTTGGCGTCGACATAGCGAAAAGGCTAATGCCTTTATTGGATGAATAACAATTTTATGACGTTGACAATCAAAGATAAAAAAAAAAAAAAGAAAAAAAGCGAAATGGAGCGAGTTGCATTGTTCTGTTAGCTAGAGGGGGCGCTCTGCCACCGAAAACAGATAGAGGGGTCCATATGACACAATAAGTTATTTTTCATTATGCAATCTAAGATTAAAAAAATAAAAATAAAAAAATAAAGAAGAAGAAGAAGAAGAAGAAAAGAAGAAACCCTTACTAAGCAAAGCATCATGGAATCATCCATTCAAATAAAACCACTTAATAAGTTACCAGCAAGAAAGATGATCAAGAAGTGAAACAATGAGTTAGAGCGTAGTAAGTACATGACACAACACAGATTGCAATGCATCTGCAATCCGTCAACACAACTAAGGAAGGAGTAAATGGCTCTAGAGTATTCCCTAGTTAGACCTGAGAGAATAAACCAGTATGCTAATCACTTTACAATACAACAAAAATGAAAATAAGGTTCTGGTAACCAAAATGAAAATCACTTCACAATTTGGATCTATTGCACACGGCATAAACCATGGAGTAGCAATATATTGCAGTACTCCATTCAAGCAGTCTCTGACAAAATCACAGATAAAAATAGTACAAAGTTAGTGTAATTTAAAATGCATAATCCACCTTTTGAAGGACAACAATTAGACAGTATGAAACAAATGACAAGGTCATTACATGTTACCATTCTGCACTATTTAATGCTAATCGGTCCAGAAGGCAAGGATAGCATGAATCTGAATATTTCCAAAATAAAGAATCAACAAGGAGTAAGGAAGGAATCTGATAAGAAAGAGGCAAAACAACTCGACTGCTTTTCAGTGAATGCTTCATTTCATAACCATTACCTACAAAGAATACAACAATAAATGATTAGAAAGAGCCAGAACCACTTGACTGCTTTTAAGAGGTGCTTCTATTGATAACCAATACCTGCAAAGCAACCATGAATGAACAACTCTATTTTCAAATTCATTCTTTCCAATAGTTATCAATCCGTTGTCAAAGTATGATGTCATTATACACAAAAACCTAAAATAGGAACAAAAAGGTAGTCATACCATGCATTTATGTTTCCACCCTTGACCATATTTTGAAAGCAAAGCCGAATTTTTCGTCTCAATTAAACATATGAACCTTCGAAATGCAACCACAATTATAACTCTCTAACAATCAATAAGACTATCCAAACTCGCAACATTTATATGAAAACAAAACAACTGAAAACTAGAACTTACATCTTCATAAAACAAAGGGCAAATAAAAAATAAGTCCTAGGGCAGGATCATGGAACCATCAATTTCAATGATATACCCTATATGTTACTAGCAAGAAAGAAAATAAAATAAAATTACAAAAAGCGGGTGAAATTTTGATGAATGTGACAACTTACCCTAAGACATATGGAACATGCCGGCAGTCTTTCAAATTCAGCAGGCAAGGAGTATATGTAAACACAGCACAATCACCAGAGAATATTCCTTCATCTGGAGTCACAGAATAAACCAATTCCAATGTCTTATTGTCAGGATCATACCTAAAAACTCCTCCGTTAACCCCAATAAAAATTACTCCGGAGTTTGGATCCAAGGCATATGGCTTAAACCATGAAGCTTTCTCAACGATGCGCCATATTCCAGTGTAGCAATCTTTGACAAAATCATTTATGCGAATAGTGTGCTTCAATATCCATTTGCTTATTTTGTGTTGGACCTGAAGTGCCCAAACAAACAAGGTTGAGCCATCATGATTTGAATAATATAAACAGCCCCTAGAGACACCAATGAAACCCCTTACATCTGTTTTATCCTTCTCTGGAAGATCAGTAGCACAAAAATTCAATTCATTGAGGTCAAAATGTAAAAGGTGTTTTGAGTGAGATAACATGTACAAAACACCATTCAAATAAACACAGCGCTTGGTCCATGTAGCAACCTTAACAGTAGTCTCTAGGGTCATTGGATGACGAAGCCACTTCCCACACTCGGATGAAAACACATCAAGAGTTACTGTGCCGGATTTAGGGAAATCTGGCCAATGATTAAAGCACACAACTTTGTAATGGGGAGACTCAAGAGGATGGAAAGCTAAAGCTGCATAACAAGATCTCTCCTGCATACTGTTTGGGGGGATCTCAACCAATTGTTTGGTTGCAGGGTTGCATATGTAGTACTGAGGGACAGATCCCCTGACAAATAGAAGCAAACCATTGCAACAGTCAAGGAAATCTCTTGTATTAGGCTCAAACGGCATCAAAGCAGAAAAAGACTTCGCAAATCTTGTGTTGAGCGCGAACAGAATCTGATTATCCAGCCGGCATGGAAGCTTGGAAGCATATTGAATGCGTTGTGTACACCCTTTATAAAGAAAGCCAAAAAGTGCAGTAAAAGGCAAGAGCTTTGGCACGCAGACATCAGTTATCAGACAGCACCATAATTTACAAACACACTTTGATCTTATTAGCGACTTAGCTGGTAAACGGCATAGAACTTCAACCAACAAATCATCAATTAAATTACCCAAAATTGACCACTCTTCCTTATTATGAACACAGGGGCTTGATAATGCATCTGATTTTCCTGTTAAGCACATTGCTTATTCGAAAGAAAAAACAGGAATTCTCCAAAGAAGTATGCTTTTGAGTAATAAATTCCCAAACTTTCAACAAAAATTGGTACTGGAGTTACAGAACGGCAGACCAACCTCAATCTGCGGAACCGTTGTCAAAAGGCCCGAGCTTTAGCTTTGTATAGAGATGGGTACAACACAAAGTACACGTTTTGTTATCCGATCGCTGGTTCGCTCCTTAAACTTTGAAGATTGGGACTTCCGTTCTTCTGCAGTCGGTTTTTTTTTTTTAATTTTTAAGGGTCCGATCTGTCCGCAACGTGTAATGGAAAAAGATTCACCATAAGCACCTCGGACCGGTAAATAAACATCTTATCTTATCTTATATATAAAAATTTTTGTGAATGACATCGTTAAAATAAATTGAAAATTTCAACTTTTACTTTATTAATTAAAATTTAATTTTAAATTTTTAAAATTTATTTTTATATAAAAATAATATCATTAATTTTTAAATTTAGATATTAAAATATAAATTTTAAAATTTTAAATTAAAATTTTAATTTTTAAATATAAACTAAATCTTTAATTTTTTAAGAGTTGAGATTGATATGTTTTAATTTTAAAATTTTTAATTAAAATTTATATTATAGGTTAAATTTTTATCGAATATTTAGATTTAAAATGTAAA